GATCAAAATAAAAGCCGGGCAACTGATGGCAGGAACTAGCTTCCTTATCTCCTCCCGGACACCGTTGTGAATGATGTCATGGACGGGTGTAGGAACAAATGGTCCCGGAACTAATGGTCCCAGAACTAATGGTCCCGGAATAAATGGTCCCGGAACAAATGGTCCCGGAACTAATGGTCCCAAGTCCAAGGTTGGAAAAAATGGTCCCGTAAGAATATCGTTTAAAAACTAAGATACACCATGCAATATACTTCATTCGTTATGTAATCAGTGATTTCCTGGTGGAATAAAGGATCTCGCCTATATTTTGAGGCCGGTTACTTCGAAGAAAGTGGTCGGGTATTGAACTTAATTTTCTTCAAAATCGTCACAATCTTTTCGAAATGAATACTGTCCAACAGTTATCTCTTAACTCTTAATTTAGTGACATTATACGATATTATAGGAGTTATTACTATATTCATATAAGGTGCTTTAGGATATTTATAGTATCAATAGGCTATTTTGAAACAAAAAATAAGTACCCTTATTCTGTTGAAGCCATGAATCTCAAATTACTTCCATCTCGCCGTGACGCGTGATGATAGCACACAGAACGAGCGGAGCTCGTTGCCTTTATAGGTGCATTAGGTTTCCATGCACATTTGATGTTTCTCCATGTCTTTTTATCCAGATCAGCAACTGCACTAGCTAGGTTAAACTATATTTCACGACAAGATGTTCAGAAATTATACAATTTATTGATAGCACATATATGGACGTGCCTTAACCTCTTACACCTGGTTTTCAAAACCGAGCAGTGCGACTGACACCTCGAAGGAATTCCTCCATCGTCTTTGCTCCCTGCTCCTACTGGGCGTAGAGTCTGCAGTCGGCGCTGCATCTGGACCAGCGCAGTTTTTGTTTTCTTTTCCATAAAAACTCCTGAGCAGTTTTTAGGGAGACAGATAAAGTTTCCGCCCGTAGAGCGTCGATCGCCTTCCATACAGATGGCTATGCCCGACTATGCTGCTGAATCCCCTGTTACATGCCTCACAGTTGTTTTTGAGCATCATTTTTATATAGCAGTGTTTTTGAGCAGTATGTATATATATATAAGCGAACCCCATTCGATTATAGTCGTAGAGAGGTTACCTAACTTTTTTTTTTATGGGCTGGAATATATATTATTTTATGACGCTTGTAGGGCAAAAGATTAAATAAAAAATAAAAAGAAAATCAGCGCGAAATATATTTGAGCTTCCGAGAAATATATAAAAACCGGACGAGTTCGTGCAACCGGCAGCATCGAAATTTCGAGCTTTTCGCATAAATTAAAAACCGTAAAATGTTTTACCGGTGAGTGATATTGAATTTTATCGGACATATTCGAAAAAGCGGAACCCAAGTTTGTTCTTGGGACCATTAGTTCCGGGACCATTTGTTCCGGGACCTTTTATTCCGGGGCCATTTACTCCGGGACCATTTGTTCCGGGACCATTTGTTCCGTTTCCTGTCATGGACGCCTGGGGGGCTGGCGTCGAAGTTGCAGCTGGACGACTCGAGTGTCGCAACGCTGGGGAGTTGTTGATAGTGACATGCTTGTGCTTGCAGTGTACATTCAATGTTGGAAGCTTCATTGATATGAACCCTTCGACTCTTGTCGTGGGGTTGCGGACAAGGCTGCTGAAGGTGTTGTCTTTCACATGAGGAACATGGGATTCTTAGCCTCTTGTCTTCTGTAGCATCAGGGTTGGCGTGGGTGCTTGATCAGGAGCAAAACATCCTCCACGAGCGTGGTGACGCTTTCGTTGGGGCCGTGTCCTGGACAGAATCGGGAATTCGGCTTTCTCTCGTCAATGCCGGCAGATGAACATGCATTTCAGCTCGATCTTGCAAACTTCCCACGACGTTGAGGAGGATTCGTGGTTCTCAAACCAGTGCCTTGCAGTTTCTTCCCCGAGAGGTATAGGTTCTGCAGGAGCTGATTGTCCATCTACCTGCTGTGGCGGGCGACACGGTCATATTGTTCAATCCAGCCCTCGATGTCTTATGCACCTTGCATGAAAGGGCATCGGAGTGCGAGGTGCAACGGGCACGCAAACGATGGCGGGAGCGGACGTGGTTTGCTGCTACGGGTTTGTCATTGTTGGGTTAGTCAGCTTCGGGTTTTTCTGGCAAAAGACCTAATTTCGGTGGTTTTTGCTGGTAGCAGCGACTGGCTCAGATTTCAAGTTCTTCGTGGTGTATTTCCGAGTTTTGTTTTGTGGTACTCGCTCGGTCTTGCGGTTTCTCTGCCGGGCTCGGGATATTACTTGATTCACGGCTCGCCGGGGGTTTAAGACTCGGGATAATGTGCCACCCGTGTCTTGTTATCGGGCAACTCGGCTGAGGGGCCGCCAGTGTACACACAGAGTGAAGGGCTATGGGTAAAGTGCCCAGCACCTCCACCAGAACATACAATGACAGCTGAGCATGGCCTATGGAACTTTCCAGAATAGTAACTATTGATAGAAAATAGGACTGGAGCAACCATCCGTGACAATATAATAAAACAGACAGAAAAGAGTCTATCCAGACCACTAAAGAAGCTGCACTGCTTTAGTGGCATTCTGTCCGAATAAATCCTCTCCTTCGGGGTCTGGCAACTGCCGTGGATAAGCTGAACTGAAATCGATGTGAGACCACTTTTCTGGTAATGAGCCGCTGCAGACTGCCGTCGCAAAGCGGCGTGAATGGGTGGACTGGGTAGGTAACACGCCCGATGAAATGTCCATACAGCTTGCAATTCGCATAACGAGTGTTGATGAAACTTTTGTTTCGACGAAACGTGCACCAGACCAGCGGAATCAATACCAACTGCAACACCTGGGCTCCGTGAAGGTGCACGTCTACACCAAAACAATTAAGTAGGCAGCACAGCATCACCTAAAGCACGGCACAGGAACTACCAGCTTGAAGGCAGCTCTTCGGCGCGCCGGACACCTGTGCTCCGTGAAAGTGCACGTCTACGCCGGAACAATTGGGAAGCGGCACAGTATCATTTAGCACGGCACGGGAACTACAAGCGGCAAGGCAGCTCTGCGGAGCACCGCACAACCAAAGTGAGCCTTCGGGCATTTGAACGAAGTGGCACCACGATTGCACGCTGCCAAGCACGACTCACGCAATTTCCGTCGCTAAACTGTGTATCCAAATATATTGCACACGCTTTACTGCAGATCTCGAAGGTTCCGATTGTCAACGAGAGCACGAAAACGTCGCCTTAAATTTTATCCTAGTGGTGTCCGAATCAATCCGAGGTCCGAGCAACGTAGGGCCGATTGTCTCCTTCGTGGCAATATCCTCGTAGGTCATTAGCGAAATGCTCACCGTTCCTCCGTATTTTCAAGTTATACCTACGTCGGACACCACGCTGAACTCTGAAGCCGCTTTCGACCGGCCTCATACAACCTCATAAGACGGCTTCCGCGTCTAAAATCAACTCGCCGAGACGAACGACAACCAACAAAGCATCCGACAAGCTCCGGCCCAGCTGGGGCTAGCCGCTGCATGGGCGCTGCCATCTTTCCTGCGACGTCACGCATTTGGTTTGGTCATGTGACGAGTGGTCAAATTTGCGTACAATGGCAGCCGCCTTATGGGGGTCACTTTCGAGTGCAGACCGGAACCCCGGTTTATCGCTCTAAGCCCCTCTACGTCGTTGCAGCGCCGGCAGCTCCGTCGCCGCTGGTTCGCACACTCCAACGTCCCCGCAGAGCCCCGATTTCGTCACGGCGCCGACGGCGCTTTCGCCGGGACGGGGCGAGACGCCGGCTGTGTGAATGAGGCCTAAGAGCTGTTGCGCTCTAAGAACCCCCAGACTGGGACGAGAAGTGACGGACTTTGTGTTTGTTCGTCCATTCTCCTCCCAGTGTCGTTGTTTTTAGTGAAATGTTAATGGCATATACCTCGCTAAATTTAGCGATCTATTCGTTTGATGCATTCTTGTAACATACATACCTCTCCTAGTGTGTTTATTTGTTTGACGTATTTCAGTAACAAACGTACCGCTCAAACATTTGCTTTCTTTTCAGAATTCTACACTGTCTTCACCCTACTAGTGCAGAAAACATGAATTCATTATATATAAATATTTGAATAGGGGAAGGGGGTATTATTTAAGTTAAATTTTTAGGGGAAGGCCAACTATGTTTTTCTGAAATGTATCTTGACCCCAGTTTCCTCACAATTAAAAGAAATCTCCTTGGGATTCTTTACCTCACCGCAGTAAGCGATCACATCATTCAGGCTTCCGGAGTGAGCTCGGAGGGCGAAGGGATTGCGAGTACTACGCGGCAGAGTACACTCGGGTTCGGGACATTCTTAGGGCTGGAGCTACGAAGCAAGCTACGCTTAGAAAGCCGACACTTCCCCAATGGCTTCCAAGCAGAAGTCATTTAGTTGCCTATTGCGGGGTGGGCTTAATAAAACTTTTGTAAAAAGTCTGAAAATGGTGCGTGCAATGCCGTTCAAGCTCCTCCTGGGCCCCTGTAGCATCTACCACGTGAAACTGACGATAGGAAGAAATAAAAAAAAAAGGGATAGCAGGTCAGTTGCTGGCCTGCTGTTTCCCAATGGCCACCGATTCCTCCGTCGACTCCGACGTCTACTACAACCGGCTTTGTGCAGATAGTTCCCGGTATTCTTTTCGGCGGAGCAGACGCCGCTGCACGCTTTTCAACACATTCAACGGGTCTATGGCGATAGTTGTGATTCGAAAATGGGATGTTCTGAGCAATAGATGCGAAGTTAGAAAGCACATACAATATCGTTTTACTTTGCCTCGGTCTAATTTAATATTTCTCATGAACGGATAAGTGCTCAGTGCGGTTTCGGATAAGATAGAAATAACTGCGGCAACGATTTGAGGCGACAAGCCGATTGAAGTGCCGTTATACTCTGAAGCGGTGCCTATTTGGTGCCTTCAATGCAGGGGCTTATGAGCTGGAGAGAAGGGCGACTGGCGACGCCGGGCGTACTTGGCAGGAGTCCTTCTTGCCGTTGGCGTCTCCCGCGCACAGCTGAGTCTTCTCGATGGGCAGGTGTCTCTCGTACGCCTTCCGGCACTCGGCCTCCTCCCAGATGGGAATCTGGGCCTCCCGGAGCACGCTGCTGCCTTCCCCGGCTGTGTGGGGAAAAAGAAAAAGAGCGTCTTGCACTCAACGTGTCTCATATACAATCACAGCTCTATAGTCCCTGCTTAAGAAAAGGAGGGAGTGGTGAGTTCCAGAAATCCTATTATGACCGTGCAGCCACTGCGAGCACCTGCTGATGAAAAGGCCGCAGAACGAGTCACGAACAAAATATTGAGAACGTAATCAGCCACGCCTTGCGTGTAATTAAGCTGGCACTGACTATAGCTATGCATCACCGGCGCTCATTTCACACCAAAAACAAACGGGAGGTGTCATTGCTAAAACAGCCTCGAATACGTTGCATGCTCAAGACGTTAATAGATAAGAACGATGAAGTAAATGATCACGATGAAAAACTGGCGCACAGAAACACGAGGACCGGGACAGGAACGCAACACGGAGGAGAGACAAGCGCTAGCTCACAACTCAAATTTCTGTTGAAACAAAGGAAGAAGCAGGAACGTGCAGCAGGTTCGAGGAAAAGAACACCGCCACAAAAGGCGCGGCAAGGACAGGAAACGCATTCACCCGGATGGCCCGGGATTCAAAATCACCGGGACGAGGGGCGCCGCAACGACTTCGAACACATTCGGTGCTCTTCGAAAGAAGCCATTTACTTGCCAGTTTGGCACGCAGAGGGCTGGCTGACACAGCGGTCTCCCAAACCGGAGATGCTAAACGTTTCAAACACTTACCTTGTGGGTTTGTCCCTTTATCGACATAATACGGTAGTTTCATTTGCGTAAGCTACGCACGAGAAGGTTGCGCAATGCAATGGTAGGTGATCCTCACCGTAGACTCTAGACAGAGATTATGCTCATTAAGCCGATCATTCAAACACCGTTCAGTTTGACCGAAGTAAGGTCTACCTCAGGAAAGGTAGGTGTTGTATATAACCTCAAATGAACAATGAAAGATACATGTTTCTTTAAGCAAGTGTGTTTTGCAACATTTTCTGCTTTAATTCAGACCTTAAAAAAAAAATGCCTACTTTTTTTTTTGAAGGGGGGGGGGTGTGGGGGGGGGGGGGGGGGGCGGGCGGTAGAGAGCACTAAGGGGACACCATGCCGATTGGCCACCTGTTTGAGATTATGAGGAATCTTATGAAGGTGCGGGCATGACCACCACCATTTTATTTTTCCCTCT